TAATAGGAGGTTTGTAATATACAAATTAAATGATCATAATAGTCAATATGGGTGATTTGCCCTTGTGGTTGTAAGCCTCTTGTTTTTTTTTGTGCAAGAACTCGTTTACTTCCAAGGGATTAGACCAAAACTTGGTATTGGTGTGCAAGTAAGAACATATTTTATTGTTCAACTGTTTACAAGTAAAATAGAACATTTTTCTTGTTGGATATATTTTTTGTGATAAAGCAAATTTCAGTGGTGTAACGAAAATGTAAAACCTATACTTTTAAAGGCAGCTCCTCCATATTGACTGGAATGTGATTTGTAAATTATAATAATCAAAAAACAAGAAAGATCTGACTAATGATATACAGTATTTATATACATAATTTTGATTTAAATAATAATAATTTCTTTCTCCAATAGTATATAGCTATTTTAACTACTCTCCACTTAAACATTGGATCTCGTTTATNGTTAAGCTAAACTGAGTTTCTTAATTATTATATATAATTCTAGAAAACACACCATTATTATACATCAGAATTAGTAGGAGCTATGTCAACTGCCAACACACTTAAACAAGAACACTTATTGAATGGATTGTAGCAGCAACCCAAATCCAATTTTACAGTGCTTTCTGAGAAACTTAACATTTCTTCACACAATTTACTTTCAACATCCTATAAGCTTTTCCACTACACCTTAGGAAACTACCACATAAATAATGTTCTCAATGTTGACTTTCAACACTTGTTGCAAGTTTTCTTGCTATTCTTATTTTATATCATTGTCTCAATAATTCCCCTTATAAAAAAGTAATGCTTACAGTATTCATCAGCTAACTTGATTGGAAACTTTGTTGTGCAATTACTGGTATACTTTTCTTTCTACTGTATAGAAAGTATGCTCCTTCACAGCATATTTTGTCATATTGCACTAATTTCAATTTAACGCTAAAATTACTAATTTTATTAAGTTCAGCATTAGGTTCAGTAAATAGCTTTGCAATCCATAAAAAAATCCCTTAAGAACTATTTAATCTGTGTTACATTCTGTTTTTATGACAATATTATCAGTCTCTTCTTTATGAACTTTTTTTACATGATTTTCTAAATAATCTTTTTTGCTGTATCCTTTCTTGCATACATGACAAGAAAAAGGTTTATCTCCAGAATGTGTCCTGTAATGGCTTGTTAATGTTTGCTTTAGGGCAAAAGATTTTTTACAAATGTCACAAACAAAAGGTCTTTCTCCTGTATGTTTTCTTAAATGGAAATTTAAAATGTGACTCCTTGTAAATTGCTTTCGACAAACTGGACAAGTGTGGGGTCTTTCCCCTGTGTGAATGAGTAAGTGGGCAGCGAAATTATGCTTTCGAGTAAAGCCCTTTCCACACACTTCACATGAAAATGGCCTTTTTTCAGAGTGAAGGTGCATATGGGAATCTAAATTCTGTTTGTGAATAAATTCTTTTTGGCAAATCTCACATACAAATTTCTTATCAATCAAATGGATACGAAGGTGATTATTCAATATACTTCTTCTAACAAATGCTTTTTGGCAAACATTACAAACAAATGGTTTTTTTTCACCATGAAGTCTAAGATGCAGTTGTAAATATTCTTTCTTTAAGAACTTTTTTTCGCATATGTCACAAGAAAATGGCTTATCATCACCATGACCTAATAGATGTTCCTTCAGTCTTTCTCTCCTAATAAATCCCTTACCACATATGTTACAAGAAAATGGTTTTTCTTTAGAATGAGTTTGAAGATGCAACGTCAAGTGATTTCTTAAGGTGAAGTCCTTTTTGCAAATTTCACAGGAAAAGTTCTTTTCACCAGTGTGAATTAATAAATGGTGAGTTAAACCTTGCTTCTGGGTAAAGCCCCTAGTACAAATAGTGCATACATAAGGCCTTTCTCCAGTGTGAATTCTAAAATGAGTATCCAAATGGTACTTTCTTTTAAATAACTTCCCACAAGTCTTACATGGATAAGGTTTTTCTCCAGTATGAACCCTCTTATGATGCTCTAAATGTTCTTTTCTTGCAAACATTTTTTGACAAACACTACATGCATATGGCTTTTCTCCTGTGTGAATTCTTTTGTGGATCAACAAATTAGGTCTTCTGGTAAATTTTTTACCACAAATATCACATACAAAATGTAATTTAGCTTTACTTTTTTTTTTCTTTGAATTTGTACTATTAGCTACACATTCGCCTGATTCTTTAATTGGTAAATGTTCAAATTCCTCTTTTATTCCCACAAGCTTTACATGAATATGGTTTCTCTCCAGTATGAACTCTCCTATGAAGAGCTAAATGTTCTTTTCTTGCAAACATTTTTTGACAATCACTGCATGAGTATGGCTTTTCTCCAGTGTGAAGTCTTTTGTGAATTAATAAATACATGTTTTTATAAAACTTTTCGTTGTCTTGCAGCTGAGCCCACCTTTTTGCTATATTAATGTTAATACTTTTTCTGAAAGCCATACAATGTAAATAAGGGAGTTTTTCATATTTTATCCTTGAAAACCCTATTTCTGATAGTATGAATCTCCAAGTTAACATTATTTTTGCATTTGAACCAACATGTTTTGAATCTGGGGTAATGATCAACAAAATTCCTTCATGTTGTAGAACTTTATATGCATTTAAGCAACAGTTTAATCTTTGTTCTGGACTTGGCAGGTATTCCAAAAGCAAACTGAAAACAACTATATGAAAACTGCAGTCCTGCAGTTCCTTTATAGGATGTTGTGATAAATCAGGTTTCTTATTTATTATATTTACTTCCAAAAAATCACACCACTTTACATCTGAACTGGCAGGAGCTATATCAACTGCCAACACATCCAAACATGGAAATTCATTAAATGGATTGTAGCAACTGCCAACATCCAATAATTTTAAGCATTTTGCATTGCTTTCCGAGTACATTTTTTCTTCTAATTCACTTTTGACATCAAATAAGTTCTCTTCACTACTATCTATGAAACTACCAAGTAAATAACGTTCACAACTCTCATTTGCTACAATTTTTCTTGCTATTTCTATTTCACGACGTCTTTGTCTCAGTAGCTCCCCATCAAAAAAGTATAGTCTACAATATTCATAAATCCATTTGATTCGTGATTTTGCTTTACAGTTATTATTATAATTTTTTTCCCAGTGTCTTGTTGCAAGTTCTTTCATGGCTTGAGCATATCTTAAAAGGCTTTCCTCCTGTTTACAATGATTAATCCAAGCTTTTTGTGTTCCAAGACGTTTTGCATCTTCACGTAAGTTTTTGTGGACGTCCTTTATAATTTGGGATAATTTCAAATGGTCATTGCTTGCAGGCTTAGTTTTTCTTTTCATTTCAGTCTGATTATAATCTGAATAAATCAAACAAATCATCAAAGAAAAATGGACATATCACCATCATCAACATTATAGGTTATGTTAATTTATGGTTAATTTGAAGTTGTTAGTTTAGTAACCAATATTAATACCAACCCTTAGCAACGAAATTATCATGTCATGTCGCGCTAATTTTAAATTGACGCTAAAAACTTAAAAACTAATTACTGATTACAACCAATTAAGAAATTTTTAAATCTATTATGTTACATTCTGTCTTTACAATAATGTTATCAGCCTGTTATTTATGAACTTTTTTTATATGATTTTCTAAATATTCTTTTTTGCTGTATCCTTTCTGGCATACATGACAAGAAAACGGTTTTTCTCCAGAATGAGTCCTGTAATGGCTTGTTAATGTTTGCTTTAGGGCAAAAGATTTTTTACAAATTTCACAAACAAAAGGTCTTTCTCCTGTGTGTTTTCTTAGATGAGAGTTTAAAATGTGTCTCCTTGTAAACTGCATTCGACAAACTGGACAAGTGTGGGGTCTTTCCCCTGTGTGAATGAGTAAGTGGGCAGCGAAATGATGCTTACGAGTAAATCCTTTTCCACACACTTCGCAAGAAAATGGTTTTTTTTCGGAATGAAGGTACATGTGAGATTCTAAATTCTGTTTGTGAATAAATTCTTTTTGGCAAATTTCACATACAAATTTCTTATCCATCAAATGGATACGAAGGTGATTATTCAATATACTTCTTCTAACAAATGCTTTCTGGCAAAATTGACAAACAAATGGTTTTGTCTCACCATGAAGTCTAANAAATCGAAAACTAAAGTAATATGTTTAAAATTATAGCATTACACCCTTTTTTAGCATTTATGATTTATGTTTTGATCCTAAAGGAATTCAGTTAATAGTTGCTAGTGGTACAAGAGTTTTAGTATACGATACTACCGATGGATCACTTATCCAGGCTTTGAAAGGACATAAAGAATTAGTGTATTGTGTTTCTTATGCTAAAAATGGTCAAAGATTTGCAAGTGGAGGTGCTGATAAAAGTGTTATTATATGGTCTGACAAGTTAGAAGCTATTCTTAAGTATAATCACAGTGATGCCATACAATGTGTAGCTTACAATCCCCTATCCCATCAATTAGCTTCATGCTCTTTGTCAGACTTTGCTATCTGGACACTTGAGCAGAAGACAGTTCAAAAACATAAGGTATCTGCTAGGATAAATTCGTGTTCATGGACAAACGATGGGCAATATTTAGCCTTAGGTATGGGTGCAGGAATTGTATCAATTAGAAATAAGGTAAATTAAAAATTACTTTGAATGTTGCTAATATATATCAATGATTATATTCATTAAGGCTGGAGAAGAAAAATGTCACATAGAAAGACCTGATGGTGCACCCATTTGGGCTTTGTCATGGAATCCAAACAAAGAAGATCCTTCAGATACTTTGTGTGTTACTGACTGGAATAAAACTCTCACCTTTTATACTTTGGGGGGAAAGATAATTGGAAAAGAAAGAAACATTGGGTTTGATGCACTCAAAGTTAATTACTTTTCATCAGGACAATATATACTTATATGTGGTACTAATAAGTGTTGCAATTTATATACAAAAGATGGGATTAAGCTTGGAATGATAGGAGACCAACAAAATTCTTGGGTTTGGTGTAATGCCTCACATCCATCAGGAGATTATATTGTAAGTACAGAAAGGAAATAGAAACAATTTCAAGTAAATTAAAATTGTTTGTTTTGAGGTAATGGGTTGTCAAGATGGTACTCTGATTTACTACCAGCTTGTGTTTAATACTGTTCATGGGCTATTTAAAGAACGATATGCATTTAGAGAAAGTATGACCGATGTAATAATACAACACTTGTTAACAGAGAAAAAGGTCAAAATAAAATGTAGAGATCTCATTAAGAAAATCGCGATATATAAAAATAGATTAGCGGTAATTAAAAGTAATTTAAGTGGCAATAATATCCTTTTCTATCTTTTTTTTATTCAAAGGTTCAGTTATCAGAGCGAGTTGTTATTTACGAATTATTTTCGGCGGATGTCAACGGTTTACATTATCGAGTAAAAGAGAAAATTACGCAAAAGTTGGACTGTAGTTTACTTGTAATTTGTTCTGAACACTTAGTAGTGTGCAAGGATAAGAAATTGCAAAGTATGTCCTTAACAGGAGTTAAGGATAAAGAGTGGGAATTCGATAGTACAATTCGTTACATTAAAGTTGTAGGTGGGCCCCCTTCAAAAGAGGGACTCATCGCGGGACTTAAAAATGGACAAGTACTTATTGTCATTTCTTTTAACTTCAAATTTCATTTTCATGTTTCAGATTTGGAAAATTTATTTGGACAATTCTTTTCCTTTGTTAATTTTAAGTGTGCACGCTGCGGTAAGATGTTTAGATATGACTGAAAGTAAGGACAAGATATCTGTTGTAGACGAGACTGGACTTTGCCAGGTTTTCGAATTGAGTTCTGGTAATTTATTATATCAAGTAAGTCCTCATTATTCATTAGGGGAATTTTAAGGGTTTCCATAAGAGTAATGCAAATAGTTAATTGCAAATTTGCTTAATTTTTGATGTCCAAAGCATCTATCTTAAAAAATTTTAAGTGTGCACGCTGCGGTAAGATGTTTAGATATGACTGAAAGTAAGGACAAGATATCTGTTGTAGACGAGACTGGACTTTGCCAGGTTT